TGGGGACGACGGAGCTGGTAGAAGGAACGCCGGTGCTGCTGCCAGGGCGGCACACCGGTGGAGCTACCAGGGGGAACATCAGTGCTGCTGCCGGGCGGGACGCCGGTGCTGCTGCCGGGCGGAACGCCAGTGCTGCTGCCGGTGGGGACGCCAGTGGTCGAAGGGACACCGCTGGAAGACGGGTTGGGGCCGACTGTGCAGGGCTCAGACGACGCAAGATCCTTGGCGAAGTAGACGTTGATGCGCGAGTTACCACCGCAGACCTTGGAGCTGTCGCCCTTGCATGGTACGTTGCACTCAGATTCGGCGGCCTTGGTGGCATAAGGGTTCAAGTTGGAATCACACCAACACTCGCCGCCGTACTCAACACCAGCATAAGCATATCCTTGGGTCTTGCATGCAGAAATACACTTGTCGGGGGTGAGATCGGGAACATTGGCGGGGTGGCCAAGAGTGCGGCCGTGGCCGCTGTTGTCATTGTAGCAGCCTTGAGCTTGATAGTCGCTGGTGGTAACCTCCTCGGCGCCCTTGGCGAAGGTAGGGTCCTCCCAAACAGACCAGGCGTTCTGGCCACCGCAGTGCTCGGACGAATCTCCGCTGCACTTGTAGTTGCACTGGTTTACGTGAACTTGTTGGCCACCCTCGAGGTTACCACAGTAGCAGACACCGTAGTAAGTCAAAGCCGCGTAGCGATAAGAGTTGCCTAGGTTTCCATTAGCTTTCAGTCGTTGTATTGATTCTGTTGCTGCCCATACCCTTGCAAACAGCAGTACACTTGGCAACAGTCATGGAGCTCTGGTCAGCCGATGACCGGAAGTCGAAGGGGCTGCTGCCATCCTTGGTGGCAACACAGCCGGCGCACTGAAAAGGCGTAAAAGGCTTGGGACAAGCAGGCTGCTCAGTGTAGGAAGCGTGAGACACTCCGCCGAGGAGAGCCGCAAGCGCAACGGCGAGAACGCTGCGGGCAGGAGCCATGGCAGACGATCTCAGTTAATAGCAAGGGGTAGAAGCGAATGTGTAAGCCCTGCTCAACGTGAAAGAGAGTATGTTGACTGAGTCTGCAAGCACCGAGCCGTCGATGCAGAAGTTGATGAGAGACAAACTGTAACCAGACGGAAGGCGAATTGGTTTATATGTCCAGCAGCAGATTCATCTTTAAGCATAGCCAAGGCCTTAGCCACCTTGCCGGGGCCTTGTCCAAGCATGATGCAGTGAACGGTGAGCCTACCTGAGCTGGATATCTCGCTAAGCAAGTGGACTACAGCCTGAGCTCGAGCGTTCGTTTTGTTTTAGGATGTCGAGCAGGTCTGCGCTAGGTACACAGTCTGTTCTCCGAAGAACTAGCTGATAAAGTTAACCGGCGCATTGACATTGGCATTGTTGTTTTGTTATTCCACCCCGCTTCCTTTTCAGGCCTTCAATCTGACGCAGTCAAACGGGCATATCGGCGATATATTGTGAGTTCCGAATTCCGAGAGCCTCCAATTGCATCCAAAGTCTCTTCGAGAGCTGACCACGAGGCCAAAGCATTGGCAGCGAACTCATGTCGCAACACATGTTGGCAGTCAGAGAACCTGGCTGATCGAGTTAGCAGATATCGCGATGGTGAGCATATTTTTGGGCTCACATAGTACTGGTACGGAAGATAAAATTGCAGTGCGATTTCTGCTGAATACCATGCCCAAAGAGGTTAATCAAGGGGCAAGGAGATTCCTTGCTGGAAGCGGGCAGCCCACGGCCGTGCCCCAAGCCAAGTCGCGCATCATCCGAGCAGCGTAGGTCATAGCCAGTTCGGCGACACTCTTTAGCGTGGCAAAAGTTTATCCTGATTTGGTATAGAGCCTGCGACAAAAATAAACGCCAGCCGTGGAGAAATATCCGAATGTGTGTGGGTGGCCCTGGCAGGCTGAGCTTGTGATGGATGCATCCGATCCAACACGCCGCGAGACTCCCACTAAATGGACAAAAAAAACCGATTATAGTTAAAAATTGTTACGGCAAAAAGGAACCGGTTTTCTTTGGCCACCGATTGACTCCCTGGATCTTGGTGCCGTGCCGAGTAGACAGCACCGAGCTCGGTAACGTTTTATTCTCTGGGCGCATGGCGGCGGTTGAGCGAACAGGCCGCTCGCAAGGGTACGTGAAGTGCTGCCGACTGGTTTGTCTTTGGTTGTGGGGTCGTCTTCATGCTGAAACAATCGACTCTCGGTAGGACGTCGTTCTGCATGAAGCTGGGCGTAAATCAGCTAAAGCTGGTAAGGCAGCCGGAGAGGAGCCATGTCGATGGGCCGATAATGGCGGGCTATCGCATAAGAATAAACTGATGGACGCATAAATCCGGTTCTGAGCCAAGCGTGAATACGGATGACGGGGGAAATGGATGGAATCCCCGGCATGTGCTGGCGATGGCGGGAGAAAATTGATGACGCTTCCGCCCATGGATATAGGATGGTTTGTGCTGGTAGCTTTGATTTCAGAAGCACGACAAAATCAACGGTTGCCAGCTTCCGTCTTAGTCAGGAAATGCCTAGGTAGGTAGGCAGCCTAGGTACCCTCAGTAACCGATAACTTCCCATAATAAAAGATAGTTAGACCACACGGCATAATCTCGCAACTACGGATTACATATCCTCTCTTCACCATCGGTGAGAAGAAAAAATCTTCTTTTGCTCCAAGCCATCTTGGTCAACCTGCCCTGAGTATTCCATATTCGTACATAAACCGATTTGCGCTTTTCCCCGTTTGCTTCCGCTAGCACCGCATGCATAATGAACAGCACTGGCTAGCGACTCCACAGCCATTGCGGGCAGACCCAACTCACAGACAACGGCCCAATCGCTGAGCTTCAAACAGGAGAAATAGAGTTCTGTGTCAGGAGAATGCAGGGGCCTTGCCATCTAGGTGCCCGGAGCCCACCAGCCTACGAACTGGCTCAGCGCTGAAGGTGAGTTGGGTGTGGCCGAACCAAGGCACGTACCAATGCGTCGCCTCAAATAACTTGGACCCCCAAAGCCTACGACGGACTGCATCACTTGTTAGTAGGTCTATCCATGTCTTCTCCACCGCGGTCCAGGAACCCAGGAGCTTCCTCCCGCTAGCCTCGTGCCTCTCTGCCTCTGTTCGCTTGGGCATCATTGCAGACGACACCATGTACAATGCGACGAGGGCAAGCCAGACTGCTGCCACTGCGCCTCAGGTGAGAGGGTCTGTGAGGGCTATGACAAGCTTCCATCAGATCGTCCGGCGTCGCCGCCCTTGGACTCAGCTGCTCATGCAGCTTCAACCCGCACAAGAGGCTCGTCGGTGTCCGACTCACGGCCCAGCGACCTTCCATCGCTCTCGGCGCTGTCAACATGTCAACATGTCAACATGTCAGCATGTCAACTTGACCATGTTTTGAACTTTTCCGCTTCCGAATTGGGGAGAGCTGTCCATGACGCTCTTGACGGTTGCCATTCGGCACGTCATTGCGCTGGCCCGCCAGAAGCTCTTACGGGCCGAGCGGGAGATGCTACTCCTGGCTGAAAATGCGCAGCACACTGCAGGGCGAATTTTCGCATGAGGTCATGCGCACCAGTCATGGTATCCAGCTACATATGTATTCCATCAGTGGCGATCTTGGGGGAGGCATCGGACAACGGCCAAGTGTCTTGGTAGTATGTTGAATGAATACGGATTCCGTCGCAGACATCATTGTGCGCTTTGGGCTACAGCTGTTGAACCAGACGAAGAACATTATTGTGTCACTTTAGGGTACGCCTAGTTTTCCAGCTAGATGCTCAAGTATCCTATTTGTCTCTTCCGCATTCGTCTGCCACAAGTTCCGGTCATTCTTTCCATCGCGTGTTGGTACATGGCAATAGAGATTTCGAGTGAAGGCTCAGCCCAGATTTGACAGCGACGTTGACGCTTCGCCTCACTTGCCCTTTATTATTATGCATATCGATCCGGATGCCAACTTTAAGTCTGGGGGGGCTAGTCTTTGACCAATTATACCGGTTTCCAAGATTATGCAGTCGAGGTCAGAGAGTCGCTGCATGTCCTTCCTACCAGCCCAGAACCATATACGAATGCACGACCTGTAGCAGAGGACAGAGGCCCTATTCTTGCAGTGCCAACACTGCCGCGCTTCAACGATGCGGGGACTACATCTCGTTGAGTATAGCTGTGCTGCGAGGATGTCTGGGTTCTCGCACTTGTGTGGACAAGATGTCGATTGTTTTGTAAGAACATGCGTGGAGCTCTCCGTTTCGCCAGCATGCATACTACTGTAATTGCGTGGATCGTCATTTGAGACGCAGTAATCACTGGAGCAATAATCAGGTTTTTTATTGTGTGCTTGAGGGCCAAGCAAGGGTGACGTTCGAAATTGTGGACGTTACGTGCGAGAATAGCCTGGCCTACATTGTTGGCTTATTGTGAGTGGTCATGAACTTGAACAGTCCCGCTGCAAAGCGGCGGCTGTGGTCAAACTAAACAAGGCAAGGAAAGAATAGAGAAAGCTTCATTGGATCCTTCGCTATTTCAAGTCCAAGACATACCACGAAAATCGAATCTGAGGGTAGCCTCTGATGTTTGAATGGCATGGTGGACGGATTCTGCAACGAGTGACGTTCATGACTTGGCGAGGTTGACAGTGAAGGCGCCACACAGTATCCGCCACACACAGCATTTTGCAGCCACACTTTCCGAGCTACAACCACTTCAAGCATTCGGCCAACTAGACTTCATCGACAGTGCGCGGCGCAATCCAACAGCTATCCCGATTGTCATCTCGTCCAGCATATACCAAGCGACTCGGCCGATTTCGCGATGCGCTTCTATTCGCTCTTCGGAGCGCTATGCGCCGCTACGGTAGCCACGGCCACGCCGCGCACTGCCCACATCTACCTCCAACCCGTCGAGGGCGGCGGCAAGCCAAGCCCCTTGGCTGAAGTCGCTTACGATGTTGCCGTGCCATCTGCCGCTGAGGTGCTTACCTACGAGGCGCCAGACCTGCCGGACAGCACGTCAACAATCCGGGTCGGCGTCTACGATGTAACATCCAAGGCCTGGTCCTCGGGGACGACGGTGGCGTCGGTCGACAATTTTAGCAAAGGTTTCGCGCCAAACTTCTTAATCTCGGTGGACTCCCACGGCGCAGTCATCAGCACGACTCTCAAGGGCGTCCAGATCGACGCCGGACACACGCGGGACTTTGGGCCGCAGGTTGTGCTGCTCCCCGAGACACGTGGGACGCAACCGGCGCTCAACAAGCCCGTGGTGCTGAACCCCGACGGGAAGAGGGAGGAACCTCAGGAGAAGACTCTGTTTCAAAAGTATGTGTTGTCTACAATGACTGGTGATAAGAAAACGGCATGCTAACGTTGGCTACAAGGTACTGGTGGGTGCTTGCGATTGTGGTGTTCATTGCCATGAGCGGCGGCGGTGATAAATAATTAGACGATCACCTTACGTTCGGATGCATAATACCTACTCGAGGCACTGCAGTTTTCATTCTTTTCACTGGCTCTTTGGTATGGTCTTTCCTGTGAATGTTGAGTCTGACTGCTAGAGTGGTCTGGCCATCCCTGCCCGTCGTCCAACGACGAAACTCCCGATTCTGCAGATGGTCCACGCCCTGCACATCATACTCGGGACATTCTTTCCTCAGCAATAGCCTAGATATATTACTGCAGCAACTCATAGCCATCAGGTGTCCCGCATGGAACTTAAGGGAGCCATTGCGTCACGTGCAGCTGGAGCCTCAGCAGCTTTTATCCCAACTCGGATTAGCGCCGTTGCTACGCAGATGGAAGCACGAAACAGATGCGCTTCTAGGCGAGCACTTAAAACCCATGGACCCAGGCGCCTATTAGTGCAATTTCGCGTTTGCTCCCTTCTAACAACTCTTTCAATTTGCCTATTGAAGTGCAATTGCCAACTTACGTGTTCAATCTGCAAGACCCTTTGTCTTTTCTGAAAATACACCAGCTCTTCACTCAACATGTCCGACGGTGTCACCACGCAGCACGACTCCGCCACCGGCAGCTTCGCCGAGAGCAAGGGCAAGGGCAAGGCCGCTGAGCGCGTAAACGATGATGCCCAGATGGATGAGGATGACGAGGACGAGGACGAAGATGAAGATGATGAGAATGAGAATGAGGATGATTTTGACGAAGAGGTGAGCACATGCATTAGAATCGTCATGCTCAGAAAAACGCGCTAACTCGCCACAGAACGAAGGAGGTAAGATCGAATGACCGCCACTTCGCGACGAGCGAACTTCCGGAACCACGATGCTAAAGACGAACTTGTCACAGACGACATTGAAGACGGCGCCGACGAGGTCGACCTAGACAACATTGTCGAGGGCGGTCGCCGAACCCGCGGCGCCAAGATTGACTTTGCTAAAGCTGCTGCCGAAAACCCCGTCGACGACGAGGACGACGAAGATGATGAGGACTTTGAGCCCCCCGCTCAGGACACTGAAATGTCTAGTTAAATGTTGGGGAGAGTTTTTCTACTCGGGGTAGTCAAAGGGATATGTGAGAAAGAAGACCAAAATGAAAATAGCGACGAGTTATGATGGCGGTGAACCAGCCTATTTGGGCATGGAGGGGCATGGTTTTTGCATTACACACGGTGCGCAAAAAAAAGAATGCACGGTCAGGACGGCTTCTTTGGTTGTAAAAACAAACTATCTCATTGAGCGACCTAAATCTGCTATTATTTGGACACTTTCGACAGTGGGATTGTCATATTGATACCATGCAAACCTTGGCGGCAATGTGAGAAAAACCTGCACGGAAAGTGACAGCCGCCCGCCTGCCTGCCTTTTCCGTTGTCAAATCTTTCATGCACTCAGCAGTTATACAAGAAATATCACACTGTCAGAAAATCGGAGTGATTGCCAGCAGTTAATTGCATTTTGAAATGATGGCCAGTAGTCTGTACGAATCCGAGTATATTCCGTGGCGCGTACCTTGGGACAAACAGCCAAGGCGCGATAACGGCAAAGACAGCAGCAAGTGTAATAGCCAACGTCTCCTTCGAGTGGCTTCGCTGAGCAGCGGTCTTGGTAAAGGTACCTGGGGAATCACTATTATTCGCATCGACTACAAAGCGCCCCAACAGCAGCTGATCAACGCGCTTGCCTGTGTCAACGACGCGGTACAAAGAGATTTGGGGGCCAGATGGTCGTACTCACATAGACGAGACGGTATACTGCTTGATGGCATAGTACCACCTGAAGCCTGGCCGATAAAGTTACTCGAAGCAGGCGCTGTACGACCCGCTGACGAACTGTTTGCCCGCTACTCTCTGGAGCTCCTAAGCAGATACGATGGTCTCAACGAAGCGTGTCCCGACACCGTACGCAGCAAATTCCAAGACTGGATAGTCCGAATGCAAGGCAATCCGCAAGGCGGTGATATGCGCTACGTTTTTGGCATCATTCTCGACGCCGACACGATACAACAGCTTCACAGCATCTGGTGTCAGCGCTCTAGGGTAGCGGCTGCCCAGACGCGAGTGCAGGTCCGTGTACTGGACGCGGCTCCCGGCGACGAATGCAACGGCGTGTACAAAGTTTACCTGCGCGGGGCAAATGGCCTGGTCAACTTCTCGTTCGCGCGTAGCTTGAGCCGGCAACCGTTGGAAGTGATGCTAACCAGGCCGATCTCCGGTGATGATGGCGGAATGTGGTGTTTTGGGCCGCCGGAACCAGCACAACAAGTGGACGAGATAAGTCACGAAAAGACGCTATATAGAGGCAAAAAGCGACTGGGCAGAGCAAAAGGTCGGAAGAAGGGCGGAAAAAGCTAGACTTGAGTTGTGCTTCATGTTCAGGTCTCGGGGCGCTGGGATGGACTAATTACTTGCTGGAAAGTATCTTGTGGTTTGTTATTCAATGTGCTGCTTGTACAGTGACGACTTGCGAAAGCTTATCAGGGGAAATTGAAAACATACAGCTCTTCAAAATGCCAATATAAGATCAAGTTCATGATGTGTCCCTAAACAGAATGTCTAGTCCTTCTGCACTGACGTGCCAACGCCACATGTGGCGACGCACTGGAGGTTGGAGATGCCACCTGTTGTTACGCTGACTTGGCCCAGATGCTGTGCACGCATCAGCGACTTGCTGCCCCGGGCCAGGGATCCATTAAAGGGGAGGGGGGCGCCGCCAAATCTAGCGATGAGGCGCCGATTAATTTTCGAAACTTTGAATCCCGTCGATTGATTTCCCTGCTAGTTTTTTTGTTTCATCTTCCTATCGGATGCTCTTCATTTTGACTTTTCTGTGATACTTTCTTCACAGTCGCCAACACCATGGCGCAAAGGTACGAGCGCATACAATTTGTTTCTGATAGCTGTCCCGTTTGCAAAAGGGATCCAAGCGCGTCATTGACGGCCTTGCGCGTGCTTCGACTTCCAACACAGACGACGGAGATTTTAGATGCCGGCCCCTTTTTACAACACAGACGACAGAGATCTAGATGCCGGCCCCTTTTTTACAACACGGACGAAAAAAAAAATACTAACATTGCAAAACTACAGCAGGTTCGGCGGCCTTCACCAGCGCGACTCCCGCAGCGCCCTCTTCGAAGGCTACTCCGGCGGCGATTCTAGCAGACGAGGCGGCAGCCCAGCGGGCGGCTACGGATACCACAGCAGCAGCAACACCGGCAGTCCGTCGCCCTACAACAGCTACAGCGCCTACGGCAACCCGAATATCGGTCCAGGAGGAGGCGGCGGCGGCCCGCCGGGAGGCTATCGATCGGCGACGCCCAACCAAAAGGGCCAGTACAGCGATGCGGTGCTCAACGAGCTCGAAAGCCAGAATGATGCGCAGGTCGCGGGGATACTGGGCAAGGTGCGGACGCTGAAAGATGTAAGTTTCCGGAACTCAGCAAGCAACCGTGGGAGAAGCGGAAAGAAAAAGGTGTAAAGGAGAGGGCTAACGAGGTTTTGGAAAATAGATGACGGTAGCGATCGGTGACGAAATTCGAGACTCTTCTGCGCTCGCGGAAAAGATGAATGATACTTTTGACCAGACGAGGCTGCGGCTGCGCGGCACCATGAACAGGATGCTGCTCATGGCACAGCGCTCGGGCATACCCTGGAAGGTCTGGCTGCTATTCTTCCTGGCCGTCATTCTGATCTTTACCTATGTCTGGCTGTTCTAGACATGATCAGGGCAGGAGCCAGAAGAAGAAGAGGCGCTACAAGACGAGCGACGTTGAGATGGTACAGGGCGACCTGTGGCTACAGAACGATGACGGCCTGATGTGTTGAAAAAAGAAGAAAAAAAGAAAGCAATCCAACATCAGGATGGCGATAGGGGAAAACAAAAAGTAGAGGGACTTTGGGAAAATCTATTCTCTGCATCATGCTCCTTTACGGCGTTACGGGACGTTTCTTCTGTCTTTTAAATATTTGTCTGACTACAAAGCACATTGGGAGGAGCCTTGCTTTATTATATGGGGGATACATGTTTTTTTTTTTTTTAACAATAATAATGAGGAAAACAAAATCACATTTCTACACACATTGCCACGTTGTTACCGTTGAATCATATTTGGCATGCTAAACTGCCGTCGTTGGGGGTATCAAATAAACATAGGGACAAAGCCCACCAACCTCAACCGCGCATGTTGCGACGCCCTTGCGCGGGGCTGCTGTCCATGAAGCTGCTCTCATCCTGCGACAAGAATGCACTCAGATCCATGCTGGAACGCGGGCCTCGCGGCGTTGCCCCTGCATTGCTGCGTCTATGCGGCTGTCCGCGCAGCGTCGGGCTCTGCGGCGGCCTCAGTGGCGCCGCCCGCGGCGCGAAGCCAAAGCTCTCCTCTTCCTCCTCCGAACTCTCCCTGTCGTGGTGGTGGTGGTGGTGGTTGTTGTCGTCGCTCGACAGCGCGGCGTCCGAGTCTGTGTGTTCGTAGCCCGCATCGTATTCTTCCTCCTCGGCCGAGGGAATGTCGTCGTCGAGATTCGCGTCCATGCCCAAGTCCACGTCGCCGCCGTCGTCTAGCAGCGAGCTCGGCGCGAAATCCTCCTCGTCTAGCATGTGGCCCTGCCCGAGCGCGTCGAGCTCCTCATCGCCGCCACCGTACATGTCGTCGCCGTCCGGGTCGCCGCGAACCAACGCCTCCCGGAACGCGTCGTCCGTCATGCGCATGCGCGCAGCCATGAGGTCGTTGCGGCGCTCTTCCCGCAGCGCTTCCTCTGCGGCGCTCACGTCCGCTACGTTCTCCTCCTCTTCGTCGTCGTCCTCTTCTTCCTCTTCGCTGTCGCTGCCGCCGCCGAGCGCAAACTCATCATCCGCGTCGGGAATCTCCTCGTCCAGATCCTGCGCGCCGTCGAGCTGCACGTCGTCCATGGCGTCTTCGCCTCCGCCGGCCGCTTCGGCCTCGGCCTCGGCGAGTTCCTGTGCTAGCTGCTCCCTGCGCATCGCCTCTTGATGCTCTTCCTGCTCGCGCTTCTCCTCTCGCATCTGGTGGAGCGTTTTGGGGAGCCCAGGAGGCCTCAGCCACGTGCTGCCATAGTTTTGTATGCCGTTGCGGCGTCGCTGCATGTACGCCTCGTCGGCGGCGAGACGCGCCAACGCCGTTCGTTCGATGATGTGGCCACGCTGCCGTTGAGGAGGACCATTCGGGCCGTGAGGGAATTGGTTATGGACAATGTCGGCGCCGCCTTCCGGGCCGTCGGGCAGGCCGCCGAGGATGGGCGCGCGCGAGGACGTGTACCACAGCGAGTGCGACTGGAGCGCGTTAGTAGGCCTGAAATAGGGGATATGGTCAGGATAAAGATAATGTACATACGTCTCGCGGGGTAAAGTCTGGTAAAGTTGCAAACATGATGAATTGATGCCCATTAGATGCTGTCTGGAGCCTGTAGCTTGCCTGATGCTGCACAAAGCTTTGGCTCAAGTAAACAAGCCACACTGCAGGTAGTGCGGGGCCACTGAACCGACTTCCTCACCATCCGCCCTCAACTATTCTTCGTCAACAACGCAACAACAATCAGGATTTCTTGAGGCTAGAAATATCGCCTCAAATATGGATCGTGAGAGACTCCGATGCTTTCAAGAAGTCTCTCGACCATAACCCTACAGCTCTTCGAAGAACTACTACTCTGTTTGTCATGCGGCTACTGGCGAATTAATTGGACACAATTTCGCGGCACAGTCATGATTTCACCGAATTCGATTCTTAGTGTGCCATTGACACCAATTACAGTAATTAAGTTCGGTTCTCGAGCGTTTCCAGGTTTGGTCTGGTGGTCGTGACTTTTTCAACTTGCAGAGACCCTGCATTTCGGCCATGGTTTGCTATCATGTCGAGGTTCTGGAGCTTATTGTTAGCTGACGACTCATTAATTTGCAAATAGCATTCGGACCCAACTTACTGGTCCAAGGAACGTGCTGCGGCACTTGAGCCAGAACAGTGACACTATAACTGCGAATATTCCCAGCACCACGCACACGTAGTCTGCCGTCTTCTGTTAGTTTCGGTAAATGTCGCAGCTGGCAAAAAGACCTACTCATGTTATCAGTCGTCACTGGGAGTGCCGCAGGAAAACAGAAAAACTGGTCCAGTCAGCTAGCTTCTTTGTCTGGGTGAACAGAACGGATTCGACTTACAATTGATGTAACTGTGAGGAATAGCACTGAGACGTAATTCACGACTATGCCGAGACTCTGCGACAAATGAAAATCCTTCGTCGACCGAGCTGTACTCAGCAGTTGGCGACCTCGAATCAAGACGATGATGGTGGGAGCTGCATATGACAAGTTGAGCAGAATGACGAGAGACGCTACGTAGGCACTAAACGCAACTCTTGGGCCCAAGTATAAAAGTCCAAAACAGACGTTGAAGCCGTAGCAAAGAAGGATTGGCTGAAGGGGAACGTTGAGGTGCGGCGTAATGTGAGCGAAAAAGTCATGGAATATAATGCCGCGATCGCGTGCCATGGCGAACAGAAGCCGACTGACGCTGGTAATGCTTGCACTTGAGCCGTTGATGAAGCACACGCTGATCATCAAGCTGATAATGCAAGCGGCGGCCCGACTTTGGGTAGCTCGGAGAACCATGGCTACTATAGGCATGTTGCCGGGAGCTGTTAGTACGCTGGTGGGATCTGTCAAGCAGAAGAGGATGACTAGAATAAACAGAAAACCCCTATTCTCAGTTGTTAGACACATAAGTACATGTTAGTTAAGTCTACTGACTTACGTCAGTCCGCCTACGGCAATAGCATATATCAACGCTCGCGGCGCGTCTCTTCTCGGGTTCGGCATCTCCTCGGTCATGTGCAACACCACGTCATATGCGGTGAGGGAGAGCGCCGACTGAACAAGACCGAGAATCCAAGCCACTCCATCGGGCCAATTGGTTTCATTCTTGAAATCGGTAAAGACGTATTTGGCATCAGTCTTGGCAGACTTGGCCAAGAGGACGATGCTGGTGACCACGACACCAAGGACAGACCAGTACACTGATGGTCAGCGGGCTTTCCAAAGAACGTGTGACAAAGCTCTTACAAGCTCCTGTATTCCACCTCCCCAGAATATTGTTTCCCCATATATTGATTGCTGTAGTGGCTGTCAAAACGGCCAAGAAAATGCCGTATGTGCGCGCGGCCGTTATCTGGTACGAGTCGTTTGAGGCGACGACGATGGCGGCAGAGATGAATTGTGCTACCGATATTAGATCTTGCGCGTAAAAAGTGTGAAAAATGAATTTACCAGCAAAATATCCTTGTACAGTGACCACTATCAACCAGCCAGCGATATTTGTCCAACCGACAAAGAAGCTCTATAGACCATTATTGGTTGGAAGTCGGCATTGTCGTGTACGTGTTGTTCTTACCACTGGCTTACGCCATTTTTCTGTACACAATGCAAAAACATAATGATACTGACCGCCGGCCGTCGGCCAGATGGCAGCCAACTCGCCCAGGCTAGCAGCCACACAAAAGCTGCATACGAGGCAGAGGAGAAAGCCGTAAAGAAAGGCGACAGAGCCACCTGACGGCAGAATAAGTCCGATAGACCCCGCAAGAGCAATCCACGTACTATTGCAGCCATATAAGTAACTGCGCCATGAATTGGGAGAAAAGTCTACCTACTTCAGAATGGCAAAGGCCATTGCGAGCGTTGACAGAGTCGAAAGTCGCTGTCGTAGGGATCCATGGTGTAGGCCTGCAGAGCGTTTGACTGTAAAGTGTGGTGCTTGAGACATTATATTCTTGAGAAAGATAAGAGAAGCTTACAGCGAGAGTGTAGATACGGAAGAAATCGATCGACGCGCTTGAACATCCACGAAGTCCAGGAGAAATGAGGCCACAGTGGCAGGTTGTCATCAAAGTGAGACGGATCAATTCAAGTCTAGCTTGCTTTTTCCACTAGGTTGTAGTATTGAGGTCTCAGTTGCGCCAATACTCGAGACCGTCAAGTGCTGGGCATGTACAACGTTAACTCTGCATGCGAATTGTGGCTGCGCAGTCGCACTGCATGATGCATCGGCGATCCCAAAGAGCCATACAGCAGGGCAGCTCAAAATTGACTGCTACCCCAGAGTCTTCGGGCACCGACGATGTGAGCCGGTCGAACTAACTAGTTAGTGCAAGGTTAGCAAGGCTTCTATGCTGGAGACCTCCATTCCCCAGTATGTATCTTGGATCGTTCTGATGGAGTAACCCGCGTGCCCGCCTACCCTCAGGGTCCGTCTCACGGGACGAACCGCGTAGAACCATGAGATATAATTCTCAAGAAAATTATGGGAGAATCTCTAGAGACATATCGTCATATTGAACATACTGGTTGCAAAGTGCTGACGCTGCTTTGCCTTTGTCTCACTGATGGTGGGCACACGGCATCGGCCACTACTCGGGCCGTTAAACTCAGAAAATTGCCTCTTAGGGCAAGGCCTAGAACATTGGCATCCGAGTCTGGTATATATATGAGAAAAGCTGCACCCAGGACAAAAATGATCCAGTCGTTGCGGATCCAATCCTTTACGTGGTATATAGGCTCGACCCTGACCAAGATTCGACAGACACCCAGCCGGCTCCTAGCTACCTAGTACAAGCAAAGTGCCTTGCGCTTTTTACTGACCAAAGTCATGACATCCAAAGACGGTTTCTCATGGACCAAAGCCGACGGCCTTCGACCTGGCATCCCTTGCATTGGAGCCATTCAGCCGTCGAGCAATATCAAATCGACAGATACCGAGTTTGATGTCATTGTTGTTGGGGCTGGATATGCGGGCCTCACCGCCGCGCGCGACACCAGCGTAGCAGGTATGTTTTGACAAGACAAGTCCCAAGGCTCATCAGAATAACACTAATCAGCTTTCTCAGGTCTCAAAGTATTGCTCCTGGAAGCGCGCGATCGCATCGGTGGCCGCTCGTGGTCCTCCAACATTGGTGGCTACCCGTACGAAATGGGCGGTACGTGGGTGTACTGGGGCCAAGCCACCATCTGGCGAGAAATTGCGCGGTACGGTATGCAGGATGAGTTGGAGAGCTCATATGACTTTTCACGCGGTATCAACCGATTCCTTCTTGCCAGCGCCGAGGGCACTCAGTCATTTACACACGATGAAGAGGTACCGCTCCCCCCACCTTCCCCCAGGTCGACAATACTGAGTGAGAATGGACAAAAGCTAAATGTAAACACTTACAATGTACTCGGTTAGAACGTGCTGATGCAGAAATGTCTGTCAAAATTCTTCAACGTCGACGGTAAAGACGGTCGTGATGCCCTCCCCATGCCGCACAGTGCCCACCTCACGCCTTCCGACCGCCGCTTCGACAACATGTCCGTGGCCGACCGCTTGGTGGAGATCCAGCACAACTTGACGCCCAACGAGCGTCTCTGCGTCGAGGGTTTTGTGCTTCTCTGCAGCGGTGCCACGCTCGCCACGACCAGCTTCTACGAGATGCTGCACTGGTGGGCGCTGAGCGGGCACACATACGAGGGGTGCATCAACCACCTCGTGCGCTTCAAGTTTCGCGGCGGCCAGTCGTCCTTTGCCGTACGCTTCTTTGAAGAGGCACTGGCTACGGGAAACCTGTCGTATGCCCTGAGTCAGCCTGTGGCGTCGGTCGAGGATAGCGCGCACAGGATCACAGTGACAACGAGGAGCGGACAGGCGTTTACAGCCAAGTACATGATTTCGGCGATGCCGCTGAATGTCTTGAGCAATGTGGCGTTTAATCCACCGTTGAAAGAGGGCAAGGCGACTGCAGCAAAGATAGGTCATGTGAACCAGACAATCAAAGTGCATGCAGAGATTCTCGATCGGGACTTGCGCTCCTTTACAGGAATCAGCTATCCACACAACGGCTTGATTTACGGTTTTGGCGATGGAGAGACGCCGGCGGGGAATACGCATGTCGTAGCGTTTGGTGGCCAGCACAAACACTTTCACCCAGAAGACGACATCAATCGCACCATTTCCGAGTTTCAGGGCTTCACGCCAATGAATGTTGAGCGAGTGGTAAGTACAGCCCCGACAGTGCCCATATTGACTGCACAAGTGCTGAGAAGCCGCAGGTCTTCCATAACTGGTCTCGCGACGAATTCGCCAAAGGCGCATGGTAAGAGCGCACGATGTTAGCTGTGTAGGGACATGGAACTGACCCATTCGGTAACAGGTTCTTTCCCGCGCCGGGCCTGCTGGCGTCTCACTTTGAGGAACTCCGAGCTCGTCAGGGCAATATCTTCTTTGCCAGCTCCGACTGGGCCTCTGGCTGGCGAAGTTTTATTGACGGCGCGATTGAAGAGGGCACCAGAGCTGCTGCCAACGTACGAGCCGATATGATTGGCCAGTCGAAGAACTGATCTTTGCACGACGAAGTAATTACGTGGTAGAGGCTGACAAATGTCTATATTTTCGTAAAAGATTGATGCATTAAATCAAGCGCTATTACCGACCCAACAATGAAATCAAAAGTACGCCACTTACAGTAATATGCCCTGTCTACATGATCAAGACCTGTCGTTCCCGTGTGACAACATCTGTCCAGCTCGTGGTGTCGCCCTTGTTCCATATGTACTCGAGCGTATTAAGCGCAACGGGAATGCTGCCAAATCGAGTATTGGAGAATAATTGTTTTAATCGGCTAGCGAAAAATTGGCGGTGTTCTGGTAGCGTACTCTCGGCGGCGGCGATGAAGAATGGCCATACGAGGGCGTGACTGCCGTCAGTTTCTAGATCCATGGTAATGACTGTCTGGCGCATCCGCTCGACCGAGGCTCTGGAGGCTTCGAGTGTCGTCGAATTCAAAGCTCTATTTTCAAAGATTTGAGACCCTTGCTTGATGACTTCAGTCATTGAGTCAATAAAGACCTGCTGCTCCGGCGTGGAGGGACAGTACGACATGAATGAGAGATAGTCGGCAGACCGTCGGCGTAACATGTCCAATCCCTTTTGCGGACTTGAGAGGGGAGATCCAAACAATTCAAACCTAAGACAAAGTATTAGTCGTGACGGTGCGAGCTACGAATCAGTACGGGACCTACATTTGTGTTTGTTGTTTGACGAATTGCTTGACATTGTCGGGTAGCGACTTGTCAGATAATGCTGCTCGTGACAGTTGTGATAACAAGTCGAGAAGATATACGTAATTCTTCGAGCCGGTGATGGTGTCACCCACTAATAGCACGAGAATTATCACCCAGTTGGAGAGATTGAAGAATTGATCGCGGTTGGGGCTGAGCGCAGACTGCCGTAGCTGAGAGAGCACCCGTTGTTGACCCAGCTCTGCCTTCATTCGAAGAGATGGCACTACTTGCGAAAGGTGAAATGCGGACACAACGATGACCGCCTGCGAAACCAAAGGATCTTGTGTGGCAAGGGGCAGAATCATCTGTCGATAGCCATTGTCTTGGAAGTCGAGGACGACCATTTTCGACGCGATGAAATTTGAGACTATGTAGAATTAGTTTCTCAAAAGAAATCACCAACGCAGAGATAGCACATACAATGATCAAAGAAGGATCTCGAGTTCGAAGATACGCTCTGAATGGTGGTGCTTGGCCCGTATGGCCAGGGCTCCCGTCTGGTTGACGATTTGTGCACCACCAGGCTATCTCCAGTCTGACCCATCGGCGAAATGTGATCTTTTGCTTTCGTATCGTCATCTTGCGCTTCATCGGTCGGCGAGCTGGTAGAGGAGGAGGGTGATGCTGATGACGAATGTGCTGGCGTGTCGGCGAGCGCGCTAGAACCGAAGTCTTGTTCCGTCTTGGGAGTCACAAGCGTTGCGACTGGTGTCGTTTCCGGGTCTGGGCCCGGTACGAGTTCTGGATCTACCCAAAGGTATTGCTTTCTCCAAGATGTCCTTGAGGGCGGCGTGGTTGTGTCTACGGCCGACATGCCAGGCTTTGAGGTCTTGCTGACGCCGGCGCTTTCGGCACATTCATCGCTCAAGGTCATAGCCGCCGGGCTGGCTTTTACTCTGGTGGCATTGGGACTTTTGCGCATATAAGGGCTGAAGCGGCATTCAATACCCTGGCCGGAACACTTGATGCCCTTTTTGCGACATTTGAAGCACTCAGGCTCAGCCTTGTCGCAAATGACGCGGCGCGTCCGACACTCCAGACAACCTGGAGGGGGCATTTAGTACATATTTGCAACTTGAAGCAAGATGATTCGCCGGTGTTCTCACCGTTATTCCTCTTGGCAAGCGACATGTTGGCGTGGCAAAGTTCCAACGTCTGGAATCGGTTCGAATCGTTACGACATGCCACGGCGCGAAAGGCAGCCGTGAAGGGCTTCACTAGCGAGAGGATTGATATATGGAATTGGGCGATATCTGATCTGGGTTCTCTGTTTGGCTTTGGGGGTGAAGCTGCGGAGGATGTAAAGAATCGAGAGCTGAAGATGCAGGTTGATGCACAGAGGAGTGCGGGGCAGCTGCTAAATTAGGCAAAGCTGGGGGGGGGGGGGGCGAATGATTGCAGTGCTGAAGATAACCTATACCTAACGGCAAGAACGTGGTACTGTCCGCTCGAAAGCGGACTCGATAGAAACGCGTTGATCTTGTATTCAGGTAAGAGAGAAATCTGCGAAATCGGGCAAATAAAGATTGTGCCCATCTTATGTTGGAGTCCGGGCTGTGATTGAGTAATTATGCTCAAGCAGCTCGGGATAATGCAGGAAGTAACCAGCATTCCAAAGATATCCTCAATCCTCAACAACGCAGCTAATAAATCTTGGACATCAAGGGAGAGTGAACAAACTGCGACACAAAAATCGATTGTTGAGTCCCATCACTGCGGTCATGGTGAACGGTTATTAGTCGACTACCATTCAATTACAAAGATCTGTTGAACTCATCGTGCTTGTCTTTGAAAGCTGTTGGCTAAACTAGCATCTAGAGATAATTGCAAGCCGAGGAGCCTATACCACATGGCCTCAATCGGTCGAAGCTCCTAGATGAGCGTGCAGAGAGTCAAAGTTTCATTGCTACAGAGATCATGAGCGAGGCTGCGAAAGCATAGTTTTATCAGCACAGTTTTATAGTTTATAGATACGCCTTATCGTGTATCTTGACATGGCAAGCCTGATCCAGAAAATCGGAACCACCGGCAGCAAAAGCATAGATGGATGAAGATCAAGGTTATCGAGATGCAACTTGAACCCTGCAAACAATGTAGATAAGGTTGCGGCAGGCTTGTGGTGCAATCGCACATGTCTCAACGGTCGCGACTTGCAAACTGTTCCCCGCGCGCATGGTGCGCCTGCTGCACCCTTATTGGTCCCATGTCTAAGACGCCAATCAACAATGAGGCTGATCAAAGATAGACTTTGTTAGAAGTGTTTGATTTTTCAACTTTTATATCCCCTGCTCTCGTGGATGAATGGTTCAAGTTTGCGTCCGCCCAAGAAATTGCAGTTTTGGCATGGCTTCACCATGTTCGGGTGAATGCGGAAGCACGGCGACCTTGCTTGCTTGCCACTCAACACTGCAGCAAACCGGCGCCAAACCTTTGATCGGTGGGCCGCGAGAACTGGTAAATCATCCGTCGAAGTGAGTGTAAGATTGCTTTGTAATGCCAATTCAAGTAGTCGGCCAAGGGAGATGTACGGGGAAACGGACCGGGTAAATCTCATTGCCCTGCCTTTGACAGTCACAACTACGTGTAGCAAACGACACGGCCAGTGTCTGCCCAACAGCCAGGCTGTTTTTGGCCGCCACCCGCTTCTGGCCACCACCAGCTTCCCGCCCCCCCCGATGTCGGTAGACGCTAATATTTAGGCGGCGGCGCCAAAAAGTTCTTATCTATCAAAGGATGGGCTGAAAGCAAACGAACGGTGCCCTCTTTTTCCTGCATATACTGTTGATCTAGGTGACAACCCTTGTTGGTACCTCGGTAAAACAGCAAGCTGGCCGTGCTGGCGCAGCCGTTCATGATCAGCCTGGTTGTAAGGCTGCCAGCAACTTGGCCGAAAAAACATTTGACGGTACTGCTGGCATAATGGAAAAGAAAAAAAAAAAAATCAAAATCCCAGAAGCACTAGAAAGCTACTCTGCTGCGAATTTCGAGTTTTTGTGGCTCTCTGCGGCGCTCAAGGTTCGTCGCGACTCGCAACACAGAGTACAAGATGCATGGCCCTCTCGCCTGGAGATGCTAGCGATGACCCGGTGGTGCAATGGGGTTGGTCCGAGATAAGGACAGAACAAGCCTCGTGCCTTGTGATTGGCCAACCGGTAGTGTAAGAAGTTTGTGGGCGACTTGTGGCGGCGCGCCCATATGTACACTTATCAGCGCCTCCCTCCCTTTTCAATCACTCACTCTCATTCCTTTGTCAATGGCTCAAAAAGTTGCATGGGACAAAAGTCGCGCATCAGCGGGGTAGTTTTTGCAAATTACATGACGCTCCCAGTTGTCTGCCCTTTGTTATTGGTAGTCTCCGCTCCCAGTTCACCAGTTCACTTCAGCATCTTCATGGACATGGGAGCTATTCAGCGGCGCCCGAAGAACCTGCCGTCGCGGAAATAAGTAGCCTGTAATCACGATCATTATTATGATGTGGCTGCTGCCAGGCTCCGTGGTTTGGAGTTGTGTTCAATCTACCTATACAACCAGCCAAGCACTGTCACAAGTTATTCGTACAGCCTCTCTTCCCACCCAAAACCAGGCCATCGACCAGGATCACATCTGCAGGTTGAAAATAGCAGGGTTTTGATTGGCAGAAGCTGCAGCCATGACGTACCGGCGCGTGGGCATTGGCTTGAAGATGAGATTCTGCTGTGACCAAACCCCCCGTCGCTCAGGGCCCTTGTGGGGTAGGCCATCTTGGCCATCTATTCAATGCTCAGCCATGTCTGGATTTGGGCATGGGGCTTGTGGATTTCTCATGGCTTGGTATCCCGTAGACTGAACAAAAACGCGCCAGACTCTTTGGTGCTCATGCAGGGTCGGACAATCATAATGAATGCATGCCTGCATTGCCGATGAGCCCCGAGGTTATGAGCCATGCTTTGTAGGCTGGGGACCGTTGGAGGCGCTACTAGTTACTATGGCGCAACTATTTACAACTCGCAGAAAAAAGCAGCACTGACATCCGTATTCAGTCAACGTATGTGAAAAGCGGGTTGCCGAAAGTAGCCACTGCTCGCCATATGGCCGCAGGAAAGGCGGCTTGGGTTGATCCTTGCGCTGTTCATTCAGCGAAACTGTGACGCAGCCTTGATGATGGACAACGTTACCAGTGTGCCACTACCGCGTTGAGTGCACACCGAGGATGACGCGGTCGAAGGCTTGATTTGATGGGGTAGGGGTTCGTGGATGGGATACATCATAACACGTCAAGTTGCCTCACGCTCTCACGGAGGGGTGCGGACGGACGCGGGAAACTTTCGGGGAGAGATGTGCTGCAGAGTGCAGTAGCGTGTCGGAAAAGCGCAAGACTAGTTGAGGTGGTGGTGAGTAGCGTTCTCGGTAGGAATTGCTTGAGGACTTCAAGACCTGGACTAGCGAGCACGTCGGAATTTACAGTACTGAAATTGTCCGGGAAGACGAGCAGAGAAGTTGTCGAGATTCGATTCGAAGCCGTCTGACAAAAGGAAGATCCATTCATTCTCGAGGTGCCGTTGAGATGCTTGCTCGGCGGAACTCCTCATGCAACCGCAGACAACCGACGAGAAACCTCTCCGTACATCGGAGCAACTGTTCACAAGGCAGGCAATGCGGCGAAAGGTCGCGTGTGGAGGGGAAATTCACTACATTAAAAAAAAATAGTCGCCTCACTTTGACCCTGACCTTGGCTGACCCGGCGCGAGCAGCCAGTTGTCTGACATGTGCTTCTAGAGAGCCCACCAGGGCGGAGCAACGCCTGGAGATGCGTCCGGCCCGGCTGCAAGATGGTGCTGGACTAACTAACTAGTTTAAATAGGCAGTACAGTGGCTACGCAGTTAGTGTAGCGCCTATATAGGACAACCCTCAGTAATAAGAGTGTCGTCCTGGGCGCCCACTATTCGCCTGTAGTGGCCTAGTCCTTTGCCCTCACCCACCAATACGGAGTGTCACAGATAAGCATCCTTACCACCCCTGCGGGCTATCCTGGGGCCGAGAAAGAAAAAAGTTGGGTTGCCTCGTCTCATTCGTAGCGTTGCCTTTGCCTCGCCTAGCCTGTTGCTGAGCGAGTAAGAGGCCTGGCCAAGTGGTAGTTAGCATCTTCTTGTTCTGGTGGAGAATGCTAAAGGGCTTTTCTTGAGAATTTGACCGACCATGGCTAACTCCATGTGCCCGCGCAGGCGTCGCCAACGAGTTTAGTCTTTGACAGCTGCCTACTGGAGGTGGCGTAGCAGCGAAGCTAAATTGTCTCCAGTCCAGATGTTGTGGTGTTTTGGGAATGCTGGAGAGACACCATTGTTACCAGTAGACGTGAGCGATTCCGGAGTTGCCCATACATTTCCCCATCCATCCCGCTGACCGTAGGCTGTCCCGTATTAAAACCGAACTGTCTGCCCATCTCCCCCCTCCTTCATTTTTGGAATCTTGTTTCTTGCCATCTCTTTCTTTTTTTCTTCATTTCTCCTTCCCCGGCCGGAAACCCAATTGATTCCTCTGCAGCTCATAGCTCAGATTGCATAGCGTTTATTAGAGATCTACGACGACAACCCCGATGCAATGTGAGTATTTTGCGCGTGATTATGCTTCATTACCCAAGTCTTTATTTATCCCACTTCCCTCCTTGGTACTGCCGGCGCAATTGGTCGCATCTGGGTATTCAAATCGAGGCAATGACGTCGCATCGTTGCCAGTCCCCGTCCCGAAGAAGCGCTGCGACCGGGGTTTGTCCCGGGTTTGTGGTACCCGATCTATCATGAAAGGCGCCCGGAGAAAAAAAAAAAAAGACCAGAAAATACGACATTCGAAAAAGTCCACAAGAAGGAAATCTTCCTAGCTCTTGCGGGCTATGTGAGAGTTTCTGCAACGACAAGTGTTGTTTCGTGCCCTTTGGCGCAATGAGTGCGGCGGCGACCACCAACGACGGGCATTGGTCGGCGGAGCAGACCGGAAGAGGCCGTATCGCAATGCCAAGCCTAGTGAAAGCCACAAGGAACCCAGAGCGGCGAAAAGTTCACCAGACAGGCAACCAAGGAATCTTTCAGTTTGAAGTTCAGCCTCGGGCCAGGCGTCTGAGGAGATGGGTGCTTTCATTACGACTGGGCGGACATTTCGCAGCACGCCGGCTACCTATTATCCACCTATAGGCTGGCTGGTTTCAGCGCTTATAGCTCGTTAAAGAGTGGCAATGGAGGGGCAGCACATGAGCTTGCCGCAGCAAAGTTCAATGCCGCTCGCCAGTTGCATGGGGAAATACGGCAGAGAGACCAGCCAGAAGCCTCGTGAAATCAAAACGACAAAGAAAAAAAAAAGATGAAGAAAAAAGGACGAAGAAAAAGACG